ATCCCAAAAGTACGCAAAACACTACGGGTGAGAGCCCAGCGATGCTGCTGCAGCTTCGTTCTTTGAGTTCACGATTAGATTTACTTCGCAGCGAATATGCGGTGCAGGTGCGTGTGCTCGATGCTCAACAGCGTCAGGTTGTGTATGCGGGTTGTGTCTCGCGTAACTTCTCTTAGGGAGACACCGTCTGGTCGAGTGACTACGGTAGCCGGGATAAATGAGTCAAGGGTACGGTAGCCCAGAACGAAGGTTCGCGAAGATACGTTCCCGACAATGGTCTCTCAAATGGTGATGGTCGATTTATTAAAAGATATATCGATCAAATAAGAAGTAGGTCACGCCTATCCGATGTCACCTGTCCGGATATTACTAATGAGGTCGATAAAAAGAATCGAAATAGGCTTGAGGATGAGTTTGCCGATGCGTCTTCATAGTTGTAGTTGAAATTGGCAGTTTTTGCTGGAAAATAATACAAAGAAACCGAGAAGGTTGATAGCAACGATAACTCCATAGTAGTTACGCAATGCCCGAGCAAGACTGTACCAGACCCTGCCACTCCTCTACGAGTACAACAACCGCCACAGTCCCAGCCAGTGAACCGTCCCGAGCGAAACCGAGGACTCGTTGTTCCATTTGAGTGTATAGATTAATTGTGATGTTAAGCTATAGGTTTAAATTAGTTTATAGTTTAAATTTGTATATATTAAGTTGTAATGAGTCATTAAGTTTATGTTCAATATATGTAGATAACTCAGGCGGGAGGTGTAAGGTATTTGATAAACCATTAAAGCCGTACGAGATAAGATTCAATTATTCTAATTAATTTTATTTTGTAAATGTAGGTAATGATATTAATGATAAATAACTTTTTTCTTATGTTTTATTTAAACCAATATTGAGTCCGCCGGAATGTATTATCATACTCCAATCCATCATAGGATCGTCATAGAATTATCATGAAATTGGCAACTGGGTAGAGACCGGTGCATTCTGTGTGTATACGTGGTAGCCCATCAATTTAAAGTAAATAGACGGAGGCCAATATAGGCTGTATGTAAAGGTATTTCAAATAAATAAATAAATAAATACAGAAAGGAAAAGACCGATGTAACCTGTGAGTACACGCGGTAACCCAACTAATAACAAAACGCGTGAACAGAGACCGATGCACGCGGTTTGTGCACGCGGTTAGCATCTACAACCGATTCCAAAGTTAAGCATAAATCAGAGCATAATGAATGAGTGTGCACCTTCAGTAATACTTCATTCGGTAAACTTATCTATATTGCCACACCAACGTCAAAATCTCACCACCCCATGGATTGACTGGTAGAGAATGCCTCCGCATTAAGTCCGCCCTCTGTATTATTTTGTTTTAAGGAATGCAAAAAGAAAATAACAAATAAATACAGAATACCAACATAAAATAGCAACTTAATGCTCCCATGTTTCGTATGGTGTAGCACCGTATTATTAGTAACGTTCATTCCGTCCGAATTCTCAGAGGTCAACACTTGTTTTTTATCTTTTATTTCTATATGATCTAAGATATCTATGAGCCATAGCATCTACTTACTATAAGGTGGAAAGTGTGACCTCCACTTCTTACTTACTTGAAAAAAGGAAACTTGAGACTAAAAATGCGTCTGGTTTGTTAACACCGTAATAAGGCGTTCAGGAATTTCATTTTTCATTTTTGCTAAGACGTCGACGCGATGTAATACATTGAAGATTTTGACGCAGTCTCCTTTTTCTAAAGACAAAGATTAATTACGTTACACTTTAAATGCAGTTCATATTATTTATATTAAAGAAAAGAAAAATGACTTTTAAACGAAAAAAAACAAGCCCTATCGTTTAAAACAGTAGTTAAAATGACACGACTGCGTAAAAATATTTAATGCAAATAGAAAATTTTGAAGCATATTATGTCTTGAATCTGCGATGTCACGGTACCTCAGATGTTAAAATCTATCAAGTTGTTTGAGCTACAGAGGGTGGCAAAATAGAGGAATATACGAACTCTCGAAAACATTAACCTCCTTCTGGGGCAGCCAGGTAAAAAGAAAATATTTTTATTATTGCTTTCTATTATTATTATTGCTGCACCGCTTCTTATATGTCTATCTCTGTTTAACCTAATGGTTGACTGGGAGAGAATATCTTTTGGCATTAAGTCCGCCATATGTATAACTTTGTGCATGAAAGGATAAATAAATAAAAAGCAAAATAAAATAATTTCCACTTATTAGCTTATGCAGTTAATGCCCTGAATTCAGACTGTAATAGGTTAAACATTGTGTTATTGATTTGGTTTTGAATTCAGCTTGCCTTTTATTTATGAAATAATGAAATTTATAAATAAAAAGAAAACTGAAAGAATCCTGTGTGTGGGTGGACGAAAGAAAATTGCATGAAAATTTTCATGCTATACTTTTCCACTCTTAATAATGATTTTTTAAATAATATGGCACCACTCTCAAGTATAACCTTCACCACCAATTCAGCTTTTTCCGAGAATTAAGTTGACACATAAAAAATATACGTGTCGAATATGCTGTATGTAACATCACGTTTTTGGAACTCTGTTTAAATACCGACAAACAAGTTACAACTAGGATCGCTTGTGGTCGAAATTTGACAAATGACACAACATACAGTCACGAGCGAGTACAAAAGACTAGCACACATCATTAAATGCATATAATCAATATATATCAGCTACATAATCAACATCAATACAACCTTTCACAAGTCTACGGCTGAACAAAGAAAACAAGAAACGCTACAAAACACTTCCTTGAACCACCTGTGTCCATCAACTTCCTGCATATCTTACCAGATAGACACTCTAACTTGGGGAGGGGGCTCTACACTTCGCTTACCGGTATGAGGCTGCCAGGGAAAAATCCTTTTTCTACATTGTTTTTGATTTTTTGAGCTGGCTGCACTATTGCCACTTCAGCATTCTGATCCGTTGGGATTATTCGGTTACCCTATTCTACTGCGAATATTTTCTAATACTTGGAATATTTGCCATAGTTGCCCCGCTTGGCAGGTGGGTTGGCAACTACACTATTTTATTTTAACCTAGTTTTTTAGTTTTAAATTTATATTAAAAAATAATTTTTTAATTTAAACTTATATTAACAAAAATACGAAAGCACCTGTTAAGTAACATAGGCGACGGTAAGTTAACAGCTATTACTTGCTTAATTATCAAAAATACGAAAGAACATATTAAGTTATATCAGAGGCAGTAGATTAAGATGCGTCTGGGTGGCCCTCAGATCATATAAACAACAGGAGATATGGCAAGGAGGCGTGGCACTTGCGAACGCATCTGGCCGCAAAGCGGCCTGATGCATGAGATATGAATGTCAACTTGTGACGTCTTCACTGCTCGTGATTTTTGACAAAATGCCGCGTTGTTCAGTGATTGTTTGCAAAAATAACAGCTGTATTGTGAATTACATGAAAGATGGCATCTCATTTCACACGTAAGTACTAAAATATTAATGTTTTTCTTATTCAATTTATTAAGACATTACTTCGTGGTACTAGAAACACGGATGAAAAACCAAATCAAATGTTTTCATTAGGAACAGAAACCATTGCTTGCTTAGTACAAATCAACCTGTGAATCAGCTGGTCTAATAGCGCAATGGATAAGTGTTTTACTGATACTCTCACTCACACGATAGTATCGTGAAGCAGCCGCTGCCGGCTTTTGTGAATGAATGATAGCGACAGATGTTTTTGTGTGAATAAGTTTTGTACGGTGCATGGTAAATGCACGCTGCGTATGATGAGATAAGGTTTATAATTGGTTGTGTAGTATGTTCTGATTTATAAAATGCGAGTGTGTGCGCGATTGTGTATCTATTGCTTTTACTGATGTGCATATATAGTAGTTGGCGCGTGGTAGGGGCCAACTGGAGACACCGGGTTCCGATACATTTTCAACTACTGAGCATATCTCCTTATTTCTTATATCTGTGGGGTGGCCGAAAGAACACATTTCGATGACATTTCGATGGCCCAAATGTCACCTCCCGGGCATTTATAGCATGTATTATTCGAACACAAATACTCTTAAGTTTAAGCAACCGCGATCAGCTGGAACTAGGTGTAGTCGGCTAAACTTAAGCGGTAGTGCACTTCGGCTCTTAGCCGTAAAATGTACATATATAAATAAAAAGTATCCTAATTTAGTGTCTAATAATATAGTAAAAAATGTATAGTGTAATATAGTAAAAAAAATTGTGTGACGTTCAAACGCGATTATTTGTACAATTATCCCTCCAGAACCCACTTAGCTGTCCTATTATTGTCAGTGTCAGTGTTAAGCTCGCGTACACCTAATCCGTCATCGGCCGAACTTTGCTCGGACGACGATGGCCGAACTCGGACGATCGAATCAAACACTTGTAAAACAAAGAGAGCGCGTACACCAACACGACCGCCATCGTCCGATGACGCACGAAAACGGCCGATCAACGGCCGATCCGAACTTGTTGGGATTTCTCGCCAGAGCCAGACTGCCGGCGTCTACAGAGCAAAATTAAGTGTATTTTTATAGTTTAATTTAATAATTCTGTATTTATTCTGTTGTTTCTGTCAGCGTTCTTATACACCTAAACGACTATGGATATTGAAAAATTAATCAGTTGTGTTTTTAATAGACCAACCCTGTGGGATAAACTTTCAAAAAATTACAATAATCGAGATGTTTCGAAACGATTATGGGCTGAAGTTGCATCGGAAATGGATATAGCGATTCCAGACGTTAAAAAAATGGACCAACCTAAGGGAGCAATTCCGTAAAGAATATAACAAATGCAATGAACCAGGTAGTTCCGTTGCTGCGGCGGATCACAAATTAACTTCGTGGATATATTACGAATCGTTATTATTCTTGGCGAAACAAATCACACCGAAAATTTTAATGTGCCTGAACCTCCCAGCCAAGAAACTGAAGATAATGCGAAGTCCTCCTATTATTCTAAGTATTCACCTGAATCACAGCCACAAACAGTACTGCAGCCTGTACTCTCACCTTTGTCGCAGCCCACACCCGCACCTTTGCAGCCTGGACCTTCATCTTTGTTGCAGCTAGGAGCTTCGAATTCGAGCCAAGCAGTATTCTCCACGTCACAACAACATACTAGACCACATACCAAACCTATTCGTGTACCTATAACGCAAGCTCATCGTTTTACATCCAATCAACCTGGAAGACTTATGAAATAGAGAAATATTGATGTGGAACAAGAGTATTTAGAGATCGAAAATAGAAAACTTCAATTATATGAGTCTAGGTCAGCAGATAAATCTGCAGATGATCCTGATCGTAACTTTTTGTTGAGTTTGCTTCCATACTTAAAAGAAGTGCCACGAAATAGAAAAATCTTTGTTCAGTATTCTCCTGTAAGCCGTTACTCCGAAGAATTAAGTCGCCCCGATTCTGGAGACTTGTTATCAAATATGTCATTTACTCAATGCGTTGTCAATATTGAAGAGCCTTTGCCACTGATCATTAATCAAATGACGCCTTCACAAACATTCGCATCCCCGAAGGGTCATTTGCCACCGACCATGAATCAAACGACTCCTTCACAATCATCAACATTATAATAATAATGATTTCTTTATTCAGGAAAAAAATTATCATGCTTGTATTTCCCGCAATAGTGCTCTTTCTTATGGGACATTTTAACAGAAATCTTAATGATTAAGAAACTTACGTAAACATGATATATCAAACAGAATTATTTTAAAGTATTAAAATTACCTAAACCTAAATATATAAGTTAGTTTTAAAGTGTTGAGTGTAAATTGTTCATTTCGTATGTGTGTACGTGTTTTGTGTGTTTGCGACGGTTTTTCCTATTCCTTAAAGTAATTATTACTTATTAATAATTACTTTAATGAATAGGATATATAAAATTATAATAATAAAAAGATATAATTTAATAGTATATTAATTATACATTATAAAACTAATTCAGTTATTTAGGGATTTCAATAATTCTTCTGTTTCATCATTTACGCGGTAGATCCACGCTGCGGCTATTATGGTTGTAGCATATATAGTGGGCTCGACCGGGGAAGGACCACGCTCTCACAGAATAACTGCGTAAAATAGTAGCTTAATGCTGCTGTGTTTCGTATGTTGAGTGTAGAGAAGTGGACTGTGTGCTCGTTTGTCACCCTATCCTATTAAAAAATCTAGTTTTTGAAGCCATTTGAATAGGGTTTTTTTTACATCGATTCTTATTTAAAATGTATAAGTTTAGTTGCTTATTTATTTTATTGTACAAGAATGGACCAAGAAAACAAAAATATTTATGTGCATAGGAATATTCAAAGGTAAACAGTATGGCACACTTTGTCTCACAAAAATTTAGTAATAAGTGTTGTTTTAAAATAGTAAGATAAATGAATAATTGTCGGACTGTTAAAACTTGGCAGTGTTTAGTACCTATGTACCTATATAGTTCATGCGTTCAACATCTGTACACGATCACTAATGCTGATTTGGACTCGAATTTACAACAATTTTTCTATTTATTACGTCCAAATAATACTTATTAATTAAAATAAAACCAATAGGTCACTAAACTATGGATTTTTATTTCAATTTCACACGTTTTTTATAACAGTAGGGTTTAAAATAAAATTAATGGAAAAATTATAATTTATTGAACCCTGTTTTCTGTACATAAATATTTCTCTTTTCTATAATCCACACACGCCGATGTCGCCGACGATGACGTCGACGAATTATATTGCGGTATGAATTTTCAAAAAGATACATTTCTTCAAATTCCTCCATTTTAAAAACGCGTCTGTTAAGCAACAGTCAACTACAGAACACCGGCAACGTCCAATGTCGGCACTATAGCACATACACGTCCGAGTTACACGTCCGGGTAGTTCCGTCCGCCATCGGCCGACGAAATCAGTTTTGGTGTACACGTACCGTTACTTTCAACATACGATTTTAGTACGTAAGTATTTTATTTATTATCATCTACACATATAAATTAGGATTACAAATGGGATATTCTGACATTATTCATAGTGGCCTTTTACGACACCCACTTGTCGAAATGGGGTGATGGATCTCCTAACTCCCTAACTACGTGGTAAGCCCATTGTCTATGTAATTTGGTTCTCTGATTTATTAGAACAATTATATTACCCCATCATAGTAGCAAGCTAATATCCATAAAATATTAAGGACCTTGTAAAACCTGTATGAAACATATTGCCTATTGTCCTCAAAGGCAAGGTATATCATAAAATGTTATCAGACATTAAATATATTATTAAATACACTATCTTGGAACATAGAATCAAATAGTCTGTAATTATTATGATTTAAGATTTTTTTATAGAATAAGGGTGACAAACGAGCACACAGTCCACTAAAAGTTCTCTAACTAATGTTCTTCTAACTTTTAAATAAAAGTAGCTTTTATAAATTTATCGCGTGTGCGTAAATGTATAAGTACAAAGTTTATCACGCAACATCGGGAATATAAAATATAATAATATACGCGATAAAACCCATAAAACCTAGTTATTTTTAAATGTGTTATGATTGCGATAAGAACTCATTGTTTTTCTAAGTTCTCATATAAACGAGTTTCCGAGTTTATTGATGTCCGATAAATATTCATATCTTCGTGTATTGATATTGATACGATACGATACTTCGATCATTTTTAGCAATATAGTCAATGCAATATACGGCGGTATTGTATCATTTCTATATAGTAAAATATCGTACGCCTTAAAAATAATAATAGGTAACTTAAAATGTTTAAAAAGTTATAACGCTTTACTTATTCTATATGTATTTATGACAAATATTATAAGTTACTTTTTTATTAATTCAATAAATAATTAATTGTTTAACAAAGCCCAACATCTTATGCCCTTATTGGCATGCCTGGACTACTTTTCAATTTATAATCATCATCAGAGTATGCCAAAGGTTCACTATCCGATTCATCCTCCAGAATATTACACGTGTATATGTAATTCTATAACACGAAGCTACGCGTTACAAAAATAACATTGGCTGATTATAAACAGTCAAGGACAAGGGACCGTTAGATAGGATGTTTAATCGTTATTTGTCGCACGCATCACCACTCCACCCCCACTACTCCCTGAGCGCAGACCGTACATCGAGTTCTTTAAAACCACGATGGGGCAAAAATGACACAGCGGCAGTTCTAGGTAAATGATATATTCTTTTTAAATCAATTCTTGTAATAAAATTGAAAATATTTTAATTTTAAAAATTAGTTCAGTACATAAACTCAGTAAAAGTTATAAAGTTTCTTCGATCTAAATAAATAAATAAAAAAGTTAGAGCTGATCAAATTTGCGGGTTAGATAAAAATGGGACGGCGGCACTTCTAATGTTTAGATAATTTTAATCAATATGGTTCATTTAATTCATCTAACAAATTTGAATTTATAAAAAAATTAAAAAGAAATATATATTTTTAAAAGACACTTGTCACATGGCGGATTCAAACTCACAACCTATTGAGTTCGCGGTCTATACTGTGTTTTATATCTCATTCTCTCGCAGGCAAAATTCTATAGATGAATATGTTTGTCTCTTTTGAATGTTGCTTTTTCCTTTCATCGAGTTTCAAATCACAAGGATTCTAAAGAAGTTTTCACTTTAAAAATATAAATTATTATTGTTATTAATTTTGTTGAAAAGTTTTGATGGTTCCCTTACTCTATTGACAGTAAAGTAAGGCATGCAAAATTTTCCAATTCGAAGACAACGTAAGCCGACCGTTTGTACATAAAATATATTAGTCCAAGTAAGTTTTAATTAATAGAAGCGACCATAAAATTGATTTATTGAAGAAAAGTGAATATAATGGTAAGAATACGCATATGTTAGTAGGGTTGCTAGGTCAAACTTTCGAAGTTTACGGTTCCTAAGAATGTGTTGAATTGATGACCAAATTCCAGTAATATGACTTTCTTACTACCTACATTATATTAGTTGAAGCCTCCTCTGTATTTGCATACTATGTAGTTATGAATTAACAGACGGAATCACACGAGTTTTAACCTTACGGTGAAAAACAATATTTTTACTGGTATCCCAACCGATATGAACTCCCACTGGCAACACTATACACCTCATGTCATTTTGAATTTTTCGTGTCAAATCAGCGAGTCACACTCACATCTTCAAATTTAAAAGTTTAAAAGTGGTTTTTTAAGTGAAAGTGCTTAATTTTATTATTAGCAACATGTGAAAACTTACTTACTTAACACTCATAAACGTTTTGGCTGATTGCAATGTATGTAATTTATGCATTTAAATAACTTGTAGGGTAGATAAACTGTAACTCGAAATGTGAAATCTATATTTGAAACAGAACGAGCATGTGTAAGCACATAATTTTTCAATAAACTTAATATGTATATTTTATGTGTGTATTGAATACGTTTATTGCAAAAGTATTTAAGTAAAAACCTGTAGGGTAGATTAACAAAATAGCAATATAAAATCAACATTACATATTATCTGTCTTACGGTGCCACGATACGAATGCACGATGAAACACGATGCGGGTATACGAAACATTGAATTATACTTTCTATAAATATTCATTCACTCATATTTACTACCAAAGTGTATAAAATATCATTGATTATAGCGTAATAAAACGCAATATAAATCTATGTATGAGACAGAACGAGAGTCTGTACGTTACATATCTGCCTTGCGGTGCCACGAAGGAGTACACGAGGCATTGAATTTCATTTTGTATGAATAATAATACGTTCATATTTACTACCAAAATGTTTTTAATATTATTACTCACAGTCTAATAAAAACGCAATATAAAATCTATGTTTGTGACAGAATGAGTCTATATATTACATATCTGCCTTGCGGTGCCACGAGGGTTACATGAGGCATTGGATTCTATTTCACATGAATATTCGTATGTTTTTTTTTCTCTACAAAAATGTATGCAAGGATTATTATACCCGCGGTACCGCTGTCGTGTACACGAGGCTATTTTCTCAACTAATCTTACTAATTTTCGGGACAAAAGAGGAGAAAAATTATTTGTTCAAGTGATGAAGATAAAGATTCTGTTTCACACAGCATTCTCAACCCAAAAACTTATCAGTCAATTTCATTTATTTATTTATTTATTCTTAATTGTTACACCTTATAACTAAGGTAACAATGGGCGACTTAATGCCTCTCGGCATTCTCTGCCAGTCAACCCTTAGTGTGGTGAGCAATTATGGTAGGTGGAAACTTGCTTAATTATCCTTGGAAAAAAATTTATATAGGTACCAAAGTATGTCGATTCAAACTATGTAAATATAAATACAAATACATATAACAACCTTAAACATACATACATATAATATATATAAATATATATACATATAACTAACATACATATACATATATACATACATACCATAATTATACAACTAGAAAACATTCTTGTCATGAAACTTCACCAGCATGATCTTTGTGTTTACAGGTGGAAAATTCTTTAGACGATAGAGAGATCGTAAGGTGATAAAGACTTTGCGACTGATTTCAGTGACATGTGTGTCCCACTTCTATGTGCTGTCCATGTACAGACCTAGATTTTTTACGGAGCTCGAGAAGGGTATCAAGATGTCATTGTAATAGACTGAAGGCAGATTTGATAGGCATGTCTTCGATAACATTCTCGAGCTACCCACTAGTATTGCTTGACATTTTTTTGGGTTGACCAATCACTAACAGAACTTAAATTCTCATTTAAGTTCGCAATAGCGTTATGGAGTTCATCAACAGTAGCCTGCACGCAGATTTGTAGGTCGTCAGCATACAGATGGCACGAACAGTTGAAATTAAAAGAGATGAAGTTTATAAAACTGAGAAAATTATCGGAGAAAGTATTCCGTCTTGCGGGATGCCTGTTTGGAGATCAGTCCACATTGAGCACTCTTGCCCTATATGAACCGACTGCTGGTGCGCGCGAAGATAGGTAGCAAACCACTCCAATGCTGAAGGTGCAAATCTTAAATGGGAAAGTATGGCTAATAGTATATCGTGGTCAACCGTGTTAAAAGCATTAGAAAACTCATCAAGCACCAACACAGTAACTTTCTTGTTTTCTATACCATTTCTGATATCTTCAGTAACTTTAAGTAATGCTGTAGTGGTGCTATGACCAGGACGAAACCCAGAGTGATAAGCAGTCAGTAGGTTATGTTCAAAAAAAAAATTGCTTTTAGATTCTCCAAATTCCCATTCTTTTTTTAAGAATCGCCAAATCAGAGATGGAAGGTTATGTGAAATATGAGCCATATACTTTAAAATTTCAACATTGTATTTATACGAGTAGATTTTATCAAGAAGGACTGGTGAAGAAAATAATGATGCTGTAAATAACTGCATTAGACTGTTATGTGCCTTATACAATTTAAAGGCTCCTTTAAGAACAGCATTACTGCTATCAGAGCTAACCAATGATTATAAAGGAAGCTCTTAAGGAAACCCAAGTGACTTCTTATTTGGCACAGGATTTTGTTTTAAAAAGATCAAAGGATCTTCATAAATCTAAAACAAACATTCAGAAGAAACCTTTAAAATATTGGGACCTGTATCCATCAGTTACAACTTTTTTTTCGGGGGGTAGGTGCACAAACAGTGACAACATATTTTTTGGGTCTTGTTTTGATAAATAATTAAAATAGTAAAACTTACAAGTTTTAGGTATATTTTCTAATAAAATACATTAAAACTTATTCATCTTAAATCTTGACTAATATCCCATAGCACATGTATTAGTTTGCACCGCATCTGCTATAAATACTTTTCTTCAGTACTACACTTCAACACTGCACTATGGCTGGAAAAAGAAATCTTGAAAAAACTAAACCGGAAGATGCTGTCAAAACACTTGAAAAAAGTTTGAAGAGTGCATGTCTTCTTTTCAAGCCCGGTTGGAAAGTTCTCAACTAATATCACTTCTCTCACCAATGATTTTATCATGTTCAAAGAGACTATGAAGACTGCGCTGGAGATCTTAAAAAAGCAAGTTCAGTCCCTTACACTATTGACTAATGACATTGAAAATAAGAGCAGGCGTAAATTTCTTTTAATCCGAGGCATTGAAGAGTCTGATACAGAAAACTGCATTGATACTGTTGTAAATCTGGTGACATCAAAATTAAAAATACATACATTTAGATCAACTCAGATTCATTCATGTTATCGTTTGGGAAAAAACACAACAGCAAATCCTCGTGCACTGCTGGTAAAGTTTACAGATTGTACCATTCGTCAAGAAGTCTGCCGTGCTAAGCTTTCTTTGAAAGGAAGTTATATTTCTATTGCTGAATTTCTTACTCCTCATAGAAGAGAAGTTTTCAAAGAAGCTCGACACCTACATGGTATGCACAGGTGTTGGACACAAGATGGTAACATATATCTAAAGCTCTGTAATGGAAGCAAGGTACGTATTGTTTCTCTAGACCAACTGGCTGAATATCCTGTGAGTAATTCAGAAACTTCCAAAGCTGTGGCCTCCAAACAACGGTCTAAACCTGGAAAAAAGTTGTAAAATTAGTCTCTTTATATATTAACTTTTTCTTTTTCTCTATTATTGAGAATCTCACTACTGTAGTTAATTGCATATTTTACTTAAAATGATATTTAACTTACCGCTATTGGAGTTTATGCAATTATTCATTTCTTTTGTTTGTAGTCGGCATAATTATATTATGTATCATTACTTATAAATACTAACAACTTTTATCATTGGTAGTTGTAGGACTTATTACCCCAAACTACCTGCTTTATATAATTTAACTTGAAACAAACCTCATTGAATTGAAACTTTTTGCAACCTTCAAAATTTTTATTTTTGTTTGTAATGTCAATATGAAATGACAATGTCAAATAATTAAAATGTTATAGTAAAAACAGATCAGAAGTTCTGTTTTTACTATGGTAATGCGATCGTCATACGCAGGGTTACCACCGTAAGAATTTAAAAGTGGGCATTTACAGTTTTTTCTTCAGATTAATTTTTTTTTAACCGGCATACTTGTACTGTTTTCACTTCTCTTTATCAAATTATAATAATTTGTACTTCCTCCTGTCATCATCATCATCATTACAGCCCTTTACAAGTCCACTGCCGAACATAGGCCTCCCCCAAGGTATGCCACAGAGCACGGTCCTGAGCCACCTGCATCCATCGACTTCCTGCATGTCTTACCAGGTCGTCACTCTATCTAGTGAGTTGTCGCCCTACATTTCGTCTACCGGTACGAGGCTGCCACTCGAGAACCTTTTTTCCCCATCGGTTGTCGGTTCTTCGATCTACATGGCCGGCCCATTTCCACTTCAGCTTACTAATCCGTTGGGGTATGTCAGTCACTCTGTTTCTACTTCGGATATCCTTATTTCTAAGTATATCATGCAGAGAAACTCCGAGAATAGCCCTCTCCATAGCTCGCTGAGCGACTTTGAGCGTCCTCATACGGCCAGCAGTGAAGGACCACTCTCTCAGTTCCATATGTCATCACTGGCAACACGCACTGGTTGTACAACTTAGTTTTCAGGTTTTGAGGTATACCTGACGAGAAGATGCGTTGTAATATCTTACCTCCTGACATGGTTGTAATGTCCTAACTGGTAGTAGATGTGGCAAGCTAATAACAATTTTATTTTTGCTGAACCCACGGTAAAGCAAAATAGTTCAGTTATTTTTATTATTTTTTTTACTTTTTTTATTAAACATTTATAATATATATGTACATACTGTTTTTTATTTATTATTATTATTTAGTAGTATACGAATGAACTTATAAATTTTATTTTAAACTTGCGATGGATATTTCAATAGAATCTGATTACTTTAACTCTACAAGTTCCTCACCATCATCGTTTTCCCCGGGTCAGGGTTCCCCAGAACCTCAACTTAGGGACATATTAAATAATGCCATTGAGCCATGCCGAAGGAATTTGAATATATGTCGTATTAATGCACAAAGTGTTCCAGCTCACTTTTCAGATCTTCTTGCAACTTTCGAAAACAGTCTTATTCATGCCTGTCTCATATCAGAATCATTTCTTAAACCTAGCTTACCATCTACTTTGTTTAATCTTCCGGGCTATCATCTCATCAGGAATAACAGATTAAACAAGGGTGGCGGAGGTGTTGCCATATACCTGCGGTCGGATATACCATACACGACCGTTTCCAGATCGCCCGAGGTTTACTCTAAATCACTGGAATACATTCTCATTGAAATAATAGTATGCAACACACCTTTCTTACTAGGAACATTTTATGCACCTCCTTCTGTAAATTATTTCAATGGATTGGAACAGATGATTGAGATGCATCTCCCAAACTACTCCCACTCCATTTTCATGGGTGACTTTAACACCTACCTTATTCGAAATGATGCTAGATCGCATAAGCTTAAACGCTTATGTGCATCAAGCAATATTAAAATTCTTGCCCTCGAATCTACCTATCACGTCAATAACACTAACTCTTTACTCGATTTAATCCTTACATCTGATCCTGATCGTATATCTCTACATGGTCAATTCGTGGCTCCTGGATTTTCCCATCAGAAACAGAATTTATGAAAGATTTTGCGCAGCCTAGGCTTTGGTAAAAGCAAACAGAATGTTAGTCAGTCTCTTGATTTAACAGCGCTCAACAAACACTTTTGCTCTTTACCAGTTTCGTTGGACTCAACAGTCAAAAGCGATACTATTAAAGATATCACTTCTTTCCCTTTACCATGTTGTATTCCTTTCTGTTTTGAACCAGTGACTTATAATGAAGTAAAAAAAAATTGCATCCGTCATATCCAGCAAAGCCAGCCCAGATAATAATGGACGTGACATGGTTTTGCCAATTTTGAACCAAATAGTTTCCCATATCACTGACCTAATAAATTTCTCCTTTGCCTCCAGTACCTTCCCTACCAAGTGGAAGGAAGCGTTCCTGATTCCTGTCCCCAAAAATAGCTCTCCTACTAATTTCAGCCACTATAGGCCAATATCTATCCACTCCTTCTTCTCCAAAATTTTTGAAAAGGTTGTTCATGGCCAACTCTCAAAATTTCTAAACAAACAGAACCTCTTTAATCCCTTTCAGTCTGGTTTCCAATCTCTGCACAGTACTTCCACGGCCTTAATTAAAATAACTGATAATATCCGCTTTGCGATGGATAATCGTCAACTCACTCTTCTTGTCCTTCTGGACTTCAGTAACGCCTTTAACTGTGTTGACTATGACATCCTGTTAGCAATTATGACATCCCTGAATTTAACATTGTCAGTTCTACAATGGTTCAGTTCCTATCTTCGGGGACGCCGGCAACGCATACGTGTTGATGATAAGTTCTCCGATTGGTGTAACGTTGTTGCTGGTGTTCCTCAAGGTGGTGCTTTATCTCCGTTGCTTTTTTCTGTGTTTATCAATGCACTTGTTTCCGTAATAAATTTCAGCAAGTATCACCTGTACGCAGATAATGTCCACCTGTATCAGCATTTTAGTTTAAATGACCTAAATTCATCTGTTGACAGAATGAATTCTGATCTTGCTGCAGTTCATCAGTGGGCAAGATGTCATGGGCTAATATTAAAGCCTGCCAAAACACAGGTTATAATCATAGGGAGCAGAAAAATTACATGTCGACTTGACTATCAATATCTACCTAAGGTCACTCTAAACGGTGTAGATTTAGAATATGTTAGGCAGGTTAAAAACCTTGGCTTAATTTTGGCTGACGATCTAAGTTGGGTGCTACAGGTTAATGAGGTTAGGAGACGTATTTTTGGAACTATGCATTCATTAATGCTCTGGCAAAAATTTATTCCTCAGACTATCAAGGCTAAGCTAGTCAACTCTCTGTTGCTTCCTATTTTTGATTATGCCGATATTGCCTATCCAGATATAACTGAGGAGCTGCTTAGCAAACTCGACCGTCTGCTCAATCTGTGCATACGATATATTTTTGGCCTGCGCAAGTTTGATCATATATCACAATTTAGCTCAAGACTTAAGTGGATCGACATCCGTTTTCGCCGGAACACACACCTTGTAACCACTTTGTCTGGTATTTTTTACAATCCTTGTTCCCCAGTTTATCTAAAAGAGCGTTTTGCATATTTAAGCTTATCCCGTTCGATGATCAACAAAACTCTAACTATTCCGATGCATAAATCTGCATACTACTCGGATTCCTTCACGGTATTATCAATTACACTTTGGAATAAACTTCCACGAGATTTAAAAGATGCTCCATCAATAAATATATTTTAAACGTAAGCTGAGGCATATTATTTAAAATTACTTGATTAATTTTATTATGTTTATTATAATTTCGTATACTATATTGTATGCTTTATTGGTTTAGTATATATTTTATTTAAATATATATGTATGCATATATATATGTATATATGTGTATAAGTGTATATATGTATAAACTAACATATACATAATATTATATAATGCGTTTTGAATAGTATGAATAAGTTAGTTTTTCTTTCTCTCGCTGCTCTACCCATAGCTCTCAACACACTACAAAAGGTTAGCTGGAAGAGAATGTCTTTTCGGCATTAAGTTCGCCTTTGTACCAAATTGTTTTGTTTGAGTGCAATAAAGAATTTTCTATCTATCTATCTATCTAACAACTCACTAGATATGCAATAGTCTCCAGCATTTGCTTTATACTAGCAGAGGTGATACTATCAAATAATATGTGGCAGCTGCCAAGCCCAACCATCAAGAAAAAAGAACAGAGGTAAACACAGCTAAAGAGGTAAGCAAATTCAATTGATCATAATTTATTCCAAATGGTCTAAAATATTATTTAAAAAAAAAACATTCTCATAGTAGGTAGACAACAATACATTAGTGTACTATATGTATATGGACACATATATTGAGTTTAGTATGTCAGAAAATATTGTATTTAATACAGCTGTAAAATTAATTAAAACAAGATAAGTTATAATTTTGTTTTTACTTATTGGTAAATGCCATGACATAATATATACATAGATGAAGAGATTCAGAAAATAAAAAGTGAAAAGTTCTAGAATTGCTGTTAATTGGATTATAAAGTTAATTCAAAAAAAAATTGATACCCTAAAAGTACATTTAAATAACTTGGTCTTAGCATTTTCATACCTGAAGTGAAACACAAATATTTCACATGATCGATAAGTCAATTATTAAAGTACAATCCACTACAATCATATAGGAAATTTGCTAATTTAATAGACGAATTAATATCTGTTTGTCCAGCTATCTTTTATGGGTAAATGTAAAAGTAAAAAAAGTAAAGTTACAGCCTATATACGTCCCACTGCTGGGCACAGGCCTCCCCTCATTTTTGAGAGGGTTTTAGGGTTTTAGGAAGTGTCCGCCGCGCTGCCCCAATGCGTGTTGGCGAACTTCACATGTCCTCGAAATTTTTTTTCTTATTCCTCAGACATGCAGGTTTCCTCAGGATGTTTACCTTCACCGCAGAGCATGTGGTAAATCAGCACTTAAAATTGCAATTAACAACTTCATTGGTGCCGGCGGGGATCGAATCCGGTTTATTCGCGTTCTGTTATATTCATAGCGAGCGATAACCATCTGAGCTACCACGGCTTATATGGTGTATGGGTAAATGTACAAAAAACAAATAAAATGTATCAAAAGAGAAT